AACACACACACACACACACACACACACACACACACACACACACACACACACACACACACACACACAGTGTACTCTGAGGAACATGGTCAAATGCCTTCTCCAAGTTCACAAAACACATGCAGACTGGATAGGAAAACTATCTTGACCCCTCGAGGACCCTAGTGAGGGTAAAGAGCTGATCCAGTGTTCCACGGCCATGATGGAATCCACATTGTTCCTCCTGGATCTGAGGTTCAATCAACGATTTGACTCACTTCTTCAGTACCCCTGAATAGACCATAACAGGGAGGCTAAGGAGAGTGATGCCCTTATAATTGGAGCACACCCTCCATTCCCACCTTTTGAAAAGGGGAACCACCACCCCAGACTGCCAATCCAGTGACACTGCCCCGATGTCCACGTGATGTTACAAAGGCATGTCAACCAAGACAGCCTCACAACATCCAGAGCCTTAAGGAAATCAAGGTGAATCTCATCCACTCCCAGAGCCCTGCCACCTTAGAGCTTTTTAACTACCTTGGCAATTGCAGCCATAGTTATGGACGGCTCAACCCCAAAGTCCCCTGACTCAGCTTCCTCCATAAATGATGTGCCAGTGGGATGGAAATGGTCCGAGAAGTATTTGTTCCACTTCCTGACGACATCTCTGGTTGAGGTCAACAGCACCCCACCATCACTGAAAACAGTGTTCGTAAAGTGCTGCTTTCCCCTCATCAGCTGCCTGATGGTTTGCCAGAATCTCCTCGGAGCTGACTGAAAGTCTATCTAAGGTCTCACCGAACTCCTCCCACATCCGAGCTTTTGCCTCAGCACCATCCAAGGCTGTGGCCTGCTTGGCCTTCCAGTACTCCTCAGCTGCCTCTGGAGTCCCACTGGCCAACAAAGCCCGATAGGACTCCTTCAGCTTGACAACCTTCCTAATCTAGGGTGTCCACCACCTAATTCGTGGATGGCCACTGTGAGAAGCACTGACAACCTTGCGGCCACAGCTCAAGGCAGCTACCTCAACAAGCGAGGCGCAGAACATGGCCCACTCTGACTCAATGTTCCCCACCTCAGCTGGGATGCTTTTAATGCTCTCCCGGAGGTGTGAGTTGAAGATCAATCTTATGGGTTCTTCTGCCAGGCGTTCCTTGCAATCCCTCACTACACATTTGGGTTTACAAGGTCTGTCTGGCATATTCCCCCACCATCTGATCCAACTCACTACCAGGTGGTGACCAGTTGACAGCTCAGCGCCTCTCTTCACCCGAGTGTCCAAAACAAACGGTCGCAAATCATATGACGACTACAACGTTAATCATTGATCTATGACCTAGGGTGTCCTGGTGCCAAGTGCACTTATGGACACGTTTATGTTTTAACATGGTGTTCATGATGGACAAACTATGACTAGCACATAAGTCCAACAACAGAACACCGTTCAGATTCAGACCAGAGAGGCCATTCCATCCAATCACACCCCTCTAGGTCACACTGTCATAAACCACATGGGCATTGAAGTCCCCCAGCAGAATAAAGGAGTCCACAGCTGGCACACTTTCCAGCACCCCTATCAAGGACTTCAAGAAGGCCGGATACTCTGAACTGCAGTTTGGCGCATGGGCACAAACATTAGTCAGAGCCCGCCCCCCCACTTTGAAGGTGAAGGGAAGCCACCCTCTTATCTACCCGGAAAAACTCCAACACATAGGCACCAAGTCGGGGGGCTACAAGTAGACCCACACCAGCTCGACGCCTCTCACCATGGGCAACTCCAGAGTGGAATAAGGTCCAGCCCCTCTCAAGGAGATCAGTTCCAGAGCCCATGCTCTGTCAAGGTGAGCCCAACTATATCTAGTTGGTACTTCTCAACCTCATGCACAAGCTCAGGTTCCTTCCCCACCAGAGGGGTTACATTGCATGTCCCAAGAGCCAGCTTTGGTAAGCCAGGGTCAGAGCACCAAGGTCCCCGCCTTCGGCCACTGCTCATGGCATCATGCACCTGACTTTTATGGCCCTTCCTGCAGGTGGTGGGTCTATAGGAAGGCAAACCTTGCTGCTCCTTCGGGCTGAGCCTGACCGGGCCCCATGGGTAGAGACCCAGTCACCAGGCACTCGCCGACGAGCCCCTTCCCAAGGCCTGGGGCCCCGGTAACCCACGTTTGGGCAAGGGACACTGAGTTCCTTGTTTTGTCCTGTTCATAAAAATCTTTTGAATCGCTCTTTGTCTGGCCTGTCACCTAGGACCAATCTGCCTTGGGACACCCTACCAAGGACAATTAGATATGCCCCTGACAGCATAGCTCCTAGGATCATTCAGGCGCACAAACTCCACCATATTAAGGTGGTGATTCAAGGAGGAGTTAAATAAATAAAGATTTAATAAAGGTTAAATAAAGGTTGTATACATTTACGTTAAGTTTATAAATTTTAAGTTAATAAAGGTTGTATAAATAAAGGTTATAATATAATAAAATGGTAAAGAAACAGCCTTTATTGTCCCACGGATGGTAAAGTCAAGTGTAACAGCAACAACAGATAAAAAGATTCACACAAGTTCCTAAATATTAAAAACAATATTTAAAGAAGTAAAATAAACAATATCAATAATATTGTTCAGAATGTATTGGAATATTGAGAAAGGCAGACTATTTACAGTACAGTAGTATAGGTAGAGTGTATGATTTAGCAGAGGTCGGCATGTATTTAATCCTTATTGAGTATAAATAAAGTTTAAATAAATGTGTGACTAAAGATTGAATAAATAAAGGTTTTATAAATATAGGTTAAATAAATGTAAAATGAATAAAGTTTGTATAAATAAGCTTAAATAAAATAACTTTAAATAAAGGTTTTATAAATAATAGTTAAAAAAATAAATGTATAAATAAAAGTTAAATCAATAAAGATTGTATAAATAAAGGTATAAATGTTTAATGAATAAAGGTTAAATAAATAAATGTTGAATAAAGGTTAAATAAAGGTTGTATAAATGTAGGTTAAATGAATAAATTCTAAATGAATAAAGTTCATATAAATAAAGGTTAAATAAATAAAAGTTGTCTAAATATATATAATTTATATATATATATATATATATATATATATATATATATAAAATGAATAAATGTTAAATAAACAAATGTTAAATGAAACAAGTTGTATAAATTAATTTCAAATAAAGAAAGTTTAAATAAAGGCTGTATAAATAAAATTTAAATAAATGAAAGTTGTATAAATAAAGGTATAAAGCTTTAATGAATAAAGGTTAAATGACTATAAGCTAAATGAATAAAGGTTAAATAAATAAATGCTAATTGAATAAAGGTTAAATAAACCAATCTTAAATGAAAAAAATTGTATAAATGAAGTTCAAATAAATATAGTTTAAAGAAAGGTTATATAAATAAAGGGTAAATAAACGTTCTTTGTATTTAAGGTTTAAGCTTATGCTCAGACTTATTTGAATGTTTAATTTAAGACATTCTTTAGTTTGAGTTACATTTAGGGTGTTTTTTTGTACTCTGTATATATTTTGTATATTTCAATTTCAGATGTTAGCCGAGTTTTCCAAACATTGGTTTGTTGCTTTCTAAAATCATATTAATTTTGTTCGGTAATCTACCTGTAATCTCAGCTAGTTAAAATAAAGACAATTAAACTTCTTAAGTGAATTTAAAGACATTTTACGTCTGACAATGTGAAGATTTTTTTATTCTTGAAAAATCAAAGTTCATTTGCAGTTCATTTGCATTTGCTTGATGTTGCAGAACTTAGCGTTACTGTCATTAATAAAAAATGTACATTTGTCTTCCTTTCCATCTTTTTCTTTTCCTATATATCTATCAGGGCCAGTAATCATGGGATCAGTCTGGATGAGATACCAGTTGAGAGACGGCAAAAGTTTTTAGATCGACAAAAGAAGATGAAGAAATAACATCAACAAACTTTCTTATTTTCCTACACTCTCTAGAGTTTGAGCAGTTTGAATATTGCATATGGTCCATTGTTTTATTGCAAATAATTAACCCAATTTAACCCAACCCAATTTGACCTAACCCAACCCTAACCCTGAGCCCTGACACAAAATATGACTCTCCCCAAATACTGACCTTTGATCCCAGACCCAAAACCAGGCCCTCATTCTATGGTCACAGTGTCCATATGTCAAATGTGAGTCCAGAATCACCACAAATGAGACAAAACAGATTGACAATAACCCCACCTAACCTCACTTTAATCAAATTTTTTGTTTTTGTATAAACCTTTGAAATGTGCTCTTGTTTTAGACCTCACAAAGCTAACACGAAAATATTTTACTTGTGATGATTAATAGGTGAAAAGCCACTTTAATACACTTCTGATTCAGCTTAAATCCTGAATTCTCTAAATTAAAATGGCAGCCTTGTCATGAATGTTGACACCTTTACAGTTTTATTAATAGAACATAAGAGTTGAATATATATTTGGAAACATTTGTACTATAGTATAAGGTTAATTTTAGCCATATCCTGTCGGAACAAGATCTGAGAACTCTTTTATTTTGACATGCTGTGTTCTGGCAACTGTTTGCGCACATCCGACAACTCAAATTTCCACCCCTAAAAGTCCAAAGTCCATCCATCCATCCATTTTCTTCCGCTTATACGGGGTTGGGTCGCGGGGGTAGCAGTCTAACTAGGGAGGCCCAGACTTCCCTCTCCCCAGCCACTTGGGCCAGCTCTTCCGGGGGAATCCCGAGGCGTTCCCAGGCCAGCCGAGAAACATAGTCCCTCCAGCATGTCCTGGGTCTTCCTCTGGGTCTCCTCCCGGTGGGACGTGTCCAGAACACCTCACCAGGTAGGCGTCCAGAAGGCATCCTAAACAGATGCCCAAGCCACCTCAACTGGCTCCTCTCAACATGGAGAAGCAGCAGCTCTACTTTGAGTCCCTCCTGGATGATCGAGCTTCTCACCCTATCCCTAAGGGAGAGCCCAGACACCCTGCGGAGAAAACTCATTTCAGCCGCTTGTATCTGAGATCTCATTCTTTCGGTCACAACTCAAATCTCGTGACCATAGATGAGGGTAGAAACGTAGATCGATCGGTAAATTGAGAACTTCGCCTTTTGACTCAGCTCTCTCTTCACCACGACTGACCTGTACAGCGCCCGCTTCACTGCAGACGCTGCACCTATCCGCCTATCGATCTCACACTCCATTTTTCCCTCATTTGTGAACAAGACCACAAGATATTTAAACTCCTCCACTTGGGGTAGGACCTACTCCCTGACCCGGAGAGGGCACTCTACCCTTTTCCGGCTCAAGACCATGGCCTCGGATTTGGAGGAACTGATCTTCATCCCGGCAGCATCGCATTCGGCTGGGAACCGCTCCAGCAAAACCCAAAGATCATGATCTGATGAAGCCAAAAAGACCACATCATCTACAAAAAGCAGAAACGCAATCCTAAGGCCACCAAAACAGATACCCTCAACACCTTGGCTGCGCCTAGAAATTTTGTCCGTAAAAGTTATGAACAGAATCGGTGACAAAGAGTAACCTTGGCAGAATCCAACTCTCACCGGGAATGAGCCCGACTTACTGCCGGCGATGCGGACCAGGCTCTGACACCGGTCATACAGGGACCTAACAGCCGATATCAAAGGGCCCGGTACCCCATACTCCACGAGAACCCCCCACAGGGTTCCCCGAGGGACGCGGTCGAACGCCTTCTCCAAGTCCACAAAGCACATGTAGACCGGTTAGGCAAACTCCCACACACCCTCCAGGACCCTGCTGAGAGTGTAGAGCTGGTCCAGTGTTCCACAGCCAGGACGAAAACTGTACTGCTCCTCCTGAATCTGAGGTTCGACAATCCGACAGACCCTCCTCTCCAGAACCCCGAGTAGACCTTACCAGGGAGGCTTAAGAGCGTGATGCCCCTGTAGTTGGAACACACTCTATGGTCCCCCTTTTTGAATAGGGGGACCACCACCCCAGTCTGCCAATCCAGGGGAACTTCCCCCGATGTCCACGCAATATTGCAGAGTTGCGTAAGCCAATACAACCCTACAACATCCAGAGCCTTAAGGAACTCCGTGCGAATCTCATCCACCCCTGGGGCCCTGCCACCAAGGAACTTTTTAACCACCTTGTTGACCTCAGCACCAGAGATTGGAGGGCCCGACCCAGAGTCCCCAGGCTCTGCTTCCTCAGTGGAAGACGTGCCGGTGGGATTGAGGAGGTCTTCAAAGTATTCCGCCCACCGACCCACAACATCCCGAGTTGAGGTCAGCAGCACACCACTCCCACTATAAACAGTGTTGGTGTTGTACCGCTTTCCCCCCCCCGAGACGCCGGATGGTAGACCAGAATCGCCTCGAAGCCGTGCGGAAGTCATTCTCCATGGACTCTCCGAACTCCTCCCATGCCCAAGTTTTACCTCAGCGACCACCCAAGCCCCATGTCGCTTGGACTGCCGGTACCCATCAGCTGCTTCCGGAGTCCCACAGGCCAAAATTGCCCGATAGGACTCCTTCTTCAGCCTGACAGTATCCCGCACCGAAGGTGTCCACCATCGGGTTCGAGGGTTGCCGCCGCGACAGGCACCGACAACCTTGTGGCCTTAGCTCCAGTAAGCCGCCTCGACAATAGAGGCACGAAACATGGTCCACTCGGACTCAATGTCCCCCACCTCCCTCGGAACATGTTCGAAGTTCTCCCGGAGGTGGGAGTTAAAACTCCATCTCACAGGAGACTCTGCCAGACTTTCCCAGCAAACCCTCACAATACGTTTGGGTCTGCCAGGTCTGACCGGCATCCTCCCCCACCATCGGAGCCAACTCACCACCAGGTAGTGATCAGTGGACAGCTCCACCCCTCTTTTCACCCGAGTGTCCAAGACATCTGGCCGCAGATCAGATGAGATGATGACAAAGTCGATCATCGAACTGCGGCCTAGGGTGTCCTGGTGCCAAAAGCACATATGGACACCCTTATGCCTGAACAAGGTGTTCACTATTGACAATCCATGACGAGCACAGAAGTCCAACAACAGAACACAACTCTGGTTCAGATCAGGGGGGCTGTTCCTCCCAGCCACACCTCCAGGTCTCACTGTCATTGCCCACATGAGCATTGAAGTCCCCCAGTAGAACAAGGGAGTCCCCAGGAGGTGCACTTTCCAGTACCCCCTCCAAGGACTCCAGAAAGGGTGGATAATCCGAACTGCCGTTTGGTGCATAAGCACAAACGACAGTCAGAACCCGTCCCCCCACACGTAGGCGGAGGGAGGCCACCCTCTCATTCACCGGGGTGAACCCCAACACACAGGCACCAAGTTGGGGGACAATAAGTATGCCCACTCCTGCTCGACGCCTCTCACAAGGGGCAACTCCAGAGTGGAAGAGTATCCAGCCCCTCTCAAGGAAACTGGTTCCAGAGCCAGAGCCATGCGTAGAGGTGAGTCCGACTATTTCTAGCCGGAACCTCTCAGCCTCACACACCAGCTCAGGCTCCTTCCCCACTAGTGAGGTGACATTCCATGTCCCAATAGCCAGCTTCTGTAGCCAAGGATCAGACAGCCACGGTCCCCACCCTCGGCCACCACCCATCCCACATTGCACCCGACCCCTTTGGCCCCTCCCACAGGTGGTGAGCCCATGGGAAGGGGGACCCACATCTCCTCTTCGGGGCTGTGCTCGGCCGAGCTCCATGGGTAAAAGCCCGGCCACCAGGCGCTCGCCCGCGTGCCCCATCTCCAAGCCTGGCTCCAGATTGGGGCCCCGGTGACCCATGTCTGGGCAAGGGAACATTAGGTCCATTTATTTTTCTCTTCATTGGGGTTTTTGGGCTGCACTTTGTCTGGTCCCTCACTTAGGACCTGTCTGCCATGGATGACCCTACTAGGGGCATAAAGCCCCTGGCAGCATAGCTCCTAGGATCATTGGGACACTCAAACCCCATCCACCACGGTAAGGTGGCAGCCCAGGGAGGGGTCCAAAGTCATTGCGCATTTTTATTTTGATTATTTATTAAAAATACAACGATATGTTGCCCTTAGCCAGGTGGACCTAGTCTGTGGAGGGAATGTTCCAGCCGCAGCATGCACAGCGTACCAGCTCGCTCACATGCTCCTTAGTGTGAGCGAGCTGGTGCGCATATCTTTTCCCCTTTCTTTCCCTCCTTAATGCTTCGCACTGAAAAACACCCACTCTCCTCTCAGACCCCCGATCACTTAACGAGGGTGGGGGAGCTGCAGCTCACATGAAGCTGCTGAAGTGAGCCATTCAACAGAAACGATCATTTATTCAACAGAATAAATAAATGCCCTGCAGACAGTGCACGTTATGCACAGCGTCTCAAGACAGTTTTACAGAGTGCACGCACAAATGCTGACGTGTCTGAACTCTTGTTACATTTCAGACTGTTAAAGATGGGAGCTGGCTGCGGGCCACCAGACCCGTAAACCCCCACCAGCCCACGTCTTTCCGCCCGACTTGAACCTCCCTCAGAAGTGGCAACTCTCATTATTAATAAATCAAGGAAACGCCAATTAAGTTTTATCAATTATATTAAAAAAGGCAGGAAAAGGTTACAATTTATAGCGTTGGACTCTCCCGCCTGTGACGCGTTCACAGACCCGGAAGAATAGCCCCGATGTCCCGTGTCATTACTCCATGACAGATATTGAATCCCATGGAGACTCTTTTCAGAGTTGCTGACCCAGTTTAACCCAGTCAGAACCGGGTCATAATTTCATTATAATCCCGTCTCTGAGCAGATCAAAACCATAGGACCAGTCCAAAAATATCTTAACAAGACATAATAAATAAAAAAAGCTTACTATAAAAATAATTAAAAAAATTCAAGAGAAATGTTTGAAGTGTTATTCACATTACATCACATTTCAAAACAATGGCTCTAACTTGTCAAAATAATAGCAATAAAAATGTCA